CAGGCCTTATTGTCTTGTTTTAATCAAAACCATACTCCTGTAACTTTGGGAAATATGACTAATTACATACAATTAGATATCCGCTTGATGTAGGAATACTGGTTATGACTAAAATTAACCATTGTAATTATAGTGACCACTAGAAAACAATCCTTTAAATTTCTATTCTTAGAGCAAAAAACGTACAAGTGCATAGCACATTAAGGCATTTATTTAGCAAATAAAAGAACTTTATGTTGAAATACAAATGCACATATAAAAGAAGTAAGCATATCTGGAAAGACATGTGTAAGACATGTTACAAATGTAAAAACAAAGGTATCCAAAAATTAAATAAAAATATTTCAGTCAAAAGCAGAGAAGTTTGGGCATTATTAATAGGTCTCCCTCTTGCTCCTGGCTCTAAGAACATCTACAAGATAATTATTTTAATAAACAGGAGCATTAGTTAAGCAATGTGGTCCGATAATAATAGGGAAATATTTGACAAGTCTCCCTTTCAAAATAGAATCCATGAGAAATACACATTTTTTTTCAAGGAGAGAATTATGTTGCTTAACCCAACTGACCAACAGCATTCAGCAGGTGAGCATCAAATTATGAGAGATCAATAACTTCAGCTTCTTCAGGAACAGTAGGTAATTTCACAATTTTCCGGCACACAGGGCACTTGCCAGCATGACGGGCCCACAGCTCAAAGCAGTACCCGCAGGACACAACTGTGCACCGGTCACACACCTGTGGATCCTCTGCTGTTTGTAAACATATAATACATTCTGCAAATGAAAAAATAAGCATTTTAAAAAGGTGAAACCTGTGCAATAAACAGTGACTTAAAATATAACAGGGGAGACGAGTATGCACTACGGCTCCAAACAAATGCTTACCAGGTTCATGAGATGGTGACAACAAATCTTCTCTATCAGGATCACCATCCATATTTCCATCATCTTCATTGTGGCATTCTTTCAAAGAAAAACAGAGGAGAGTCATTAGAACATCTAGTCAAAGATATAAATGTTATATATTACTTTGCTCTACATTTAAGAAAATTCCAGATTATTCAACGTGATATGATACACAAATGGTCCTTGCCAAAGCAAAAAGGTGCAAACCAAATATACTAATATAAACCATTGTTCATCTAAGTAAATATATTTCCATTGATAAATAATGAAACAGAAAAACAAACCTGATGGGATTTCTTGAGTTTGTGTCGGCAAGTTTGTGTCAGCATCATTCGTCTGTAAAACAGCAAATGTTCTTTTATTTAAAAAAAAATTGTTTAATAACCTTGACAGGGTTTACTGGAACAAATGTACTGAGTGACCTACTTCAAAATTGCTATTAATTGTAAGATTAGGTGGGTTGGGCGGAGATAGATATGTCACAAGCCGTTGCAGTTGGTGGAGTCGTGCCAATTGTTGCACGGCCAGATGAGTCACAGCAGCTGTAGGTTGCATATTGTATGGACTGTATGGATTGTACGGATAAAATCCTGAATACATAATGGGGCCCATACCCATGGCCCATGGTGAGTATACGGGTCCTGCTGAAGGGCAAAAATGATTTGACCACCCAGTTTGGGAACGATGACGCCGCCGACTACCGTTTCTTCTATAGCCTGGCATGGCGCTGCAAAATATGAAATAAAATATTTCAATCAGTGATGCAAACAGTATAGTCATATATGAATAGCTGTTATTATTAATAAGTAAGCATTTACGTAACGTACTTTTGGTCGTGATCTTACAGTTCACTAAAAAAAAAGATCAGAAGAGAGAAAAGGGGGCTGTAGGGTTAGGGTAGAGGATTACCGCTTGTTACCGCTCGCTATAAACAAAAGGCAATCGACCGCTGTTGTTTTCTTGAAGGCGTGGCTTGTTGTTGATGTTGTTTTTGTTTAGGTAGGCGGTAGTGTTGTACTGACCACGCGTCCTCGTCGCTGTGCCCCTGTTCTCGTGGTACTCACGGCTTCTTGATATTTTTGAGTTGTAGTGACTGTGTGAGATGCATTTCAAACCGAAATGGAAGGCATCAGTGCAAGTTATTCTGTAAGATTTCGTCTTGTCCGTTTTGTGCCTGTATTAATGCGATTGATTGTTGATTGACTGGTTTAATTCTCTTTTGCAGCCTCCTGTGTATTCTCCACCTCGGCGCCGATGCGATTCGATTGATCAGGGAGAATGGCTTCAGGGATGGGACCCACTTCTACCACCTTGGGGATGGGTCCCATGCCTACCATGTAAACCTGGAGACTGGCTCGTCTATCTATTTTAAGTGCGTGATGTCTCATAAACTGAAGTGCTCAGGCAGAGCGATATTCAGCTTCCGCAATGGTTTTCGGCACTCGCAAGCCCACAATCACCATCCAGACCCTGATTATGTTGGAGCCAGGCACTTCCGCGAGAACATCTTACAGCAGATCCATGAAGCAAGATATGTCTCATTCCATGATATTTTGAATGAGTATCGGAGAGACCGTCGGTAAGCTATCATCATATATGTATTTACTGGAACTACTTATTTTGGTGAATCTGCAAGTTGTAAGCTTAAGAGACAAATTTGGATAATGGTTTTAGCCTGGTTTACTTTTTCACAAAATTTAGAAACATAATGCTTATTGTGCAGCCCATTGTTTAAACTTTGTTATCCTGTGTTCAATGTGTCAATGCATTACATTAATGTTACTCATCTTACTGTTTATTCTTCAGGTACACCAGAACAGTTCGGGCTAGGATGAATATGAGACGGCTGAGGGGGGCAATGTGGAACAAACGAATGAAGAGCTTCCCAGCTATACCTCAAACCTTGAGGGAGCTGACCCAAATTCTTCTCCAACAAAACTTCAGAGAAAAAGTTGCCTCTACCATTGATGGTGCTGATAACTTATATGCTGGATCGTGCACAGCCACTGACGGGTCACACCATGTCATATTTATGTCTCAGAGAATGTTGAATTTCTTGCCACGTCTGAAACACATACAATCTGATGGAACATTCAGGGCAAGACCACTCCGTCCTCATTCTGCCCAATGTTTTGTTCTTGTGACTCCATGGCAGCATAATGTAAGTATTTCCTGAGTGCAAGTGTAATATTTAATAAGATGTAAGAAATTGTATTGTCCTGATTAAAACAAAAGCTTTCATGTTTTCAGGTTGTTCCAGTGGCCTGGATACTAATGGAACGTAAATCCCTGAGTGCTTACAAAGCTGTATTTTCAATGATTAAGCAACTTTGTCCAGCGTTCAACCCTGAACTGATAGTGACAGATTGGGAGTACGAGCAACAACGAGCTTGGCAAGAAGCTTTTCCACGTATGTTTCTCTCTACTTGGCCTATAGAAATTTTAATAATTTCCCATTTGTTGCTGATACAAGCTCTTTTTCATTGTTTCAGGTGCTTCAATCCAAGGATGCTTGTGGCACTTGTGCAGAGCTTTTATAAAGAAAGCCAAAGGGCTAAACATACTACGTTTCAGACGGTATTATCCCTCAATAATTGAATATATCAGAAAGACCTGTGCCATAACACTCCTGCCAGTGAGGTATTTCAGGGTTGGATTGGGTGTAGTAATGGATCAAGCTAGAGAAGAGGATGTTGTTGTTGCTTATCTTCTTAGAAATTTCTTCAATTACGTGGAGCAAAATTGGATAGGAAATGTCGCCCGAAGGAGGTGGATGAACCTATGGCAATCTACTGACAGAACCAACAATTTATGCGAGTCCCACAACAAAATGCTAAGAAAGGAAGTAGGGGCTTACAGGCCAAACGTTTGGACATTCATTGATGCCCTGGCAAAACTAGAACACAATGCCCAACTTGATATTGTTGAGCTGCGTCGGGGAGCAAATCCTAGAAGACCACGCCCATATCGTTCTGTATGGACTGATGAATACCTCCTAGCTTTATCAAATGATCTAACTCAAGAAGTATTTCACGACAGGGACACCTCTGTCAGTGATTTTCTGGACAGGGCTGTAGAGTTGTTTCAGGGAGCATTTGATGCTCACCTGCTGAATGCTGTTGGTCAGTTGGCTTAAGCAACAAAAAATGTGTATGCGATTTCTCATGGATTCTATTTTGAAAGGGAAACATGATGTTTTTTTTTAATAGGAACTATCACATTCTTTTGACCCTGTGCTGATCCAGGTTTCAATATCTTTATCTTAATTTGTTTTTCTTCTTGTAGTGGAAGCTTCTAACTTTTTGATTTTTACAAATGTGCAAATGCATTGTAACTTTATCTGTATTATAAAACTGGCTGTCTTTTCTTATTTTTTTCACACTTGTCAAATATTTCCCTGTTATTATCAGACCACACTGCTTACCTAATGCTCCTGTTTATTAAAATAATAAATGTCTCATTGTGATATACACTTGTACTTATTTTCCTATAAGTATACAAATATAATGGATTGTTTTCTAGTGGTTACTAAAATTACAATGGTTAATTTTAGTCATAACCAGTATTCCTGCATCAAGCAGATATCTAATTGTACGTAATTAGTCATATTTCCTAAAGTTACAGGAGTATGGTTTCGATGAAAACAAGACAATAAGGCCTGCTGCAGGGTTTGGAAAAGATAAATGTGATGTGTTTGATTATGATAGGCCATTGGTTAGGTTACACCAGAACTGTGAAGAACAACAACATTAACTGCTAAATCTTTTTTTTATTACATATTAACTCTTGAACGATCAAGACTTAAGAGGCAAGTCAAAACTGTATCATATCGCCCTTCATAAATCCCTTCGTGGAATCGCAGTTGAGGTACCAGTTTTCAGAAAAAAACTAATGGCCTTACGAAGGGGTGTGCTACTCTGTCGAGCCTGCAATGTAAAGCTGGATGGGGGAGGGGGTGCAGCTAAACAAGCCCCGCGGTATTCAAGCGCATTCCTGGGCAGAGACGTCCTCGGCGGGGCCATTCAGATGGCAGGGAATGCCCGGTAAGGACATCTCCTTAAGGGACTTCACTTGTCTTGGGTCACCAGCTCCTGACTGTGTTTCCTGGACGCCAACACGTCGACAACGCTGGTGGCCTTGACCTCCTCGCCCTGTCCTCGGACGGGGCAGCAGAGGCGGCCGCGCTGTTCGTCATGCTGCACGTCACCAGCTCGGCGGCACGTCGACGGCGCTGGCACCCATGAGCACCTCGTCCTGCAGGTCGCATGTGGGTGGCGCGGTGGCAGGAAGGTGCAGCTAGCGAGCACGTCGATGCTGGTCGTGGTCTGGTGCCTGGCGGCGTACACAGCACGCTCGTGCATCCTCCGCACCGCGTTCAGCTCCAGGTGCCGCAGAGCCGGCAAGGAGGGCAGCGCGTCGAGCACCGGCTGCAGGTGGGGTACAAGCGACCCTCCTTGTAGGGGTTGAGGATCACCAACGATTCGAAAAGGGGACGATGGTAAGGACCAGACAAGGCCCTTCCCAGCTCCAGGCCGACTCCGACGACGTACCAATACATCAGTAACCAAGAGGAGTACATCAGGGAGACGGCGTGGTTCAGGAACTCTCTGGCGTCCTGGACGTTGCCTCGGGATTCACTCCTCACGAACAGGGTGACCTCCCTTAGCGACACCCAGTGACCTGCAGCCCGGGGATCAAGGCGGTCCGCAGAGATTCGGCATGCAGACGGGCAAGGGCGCCGTCTCAGTGACGTCCGAGACGCCCACGCCGTCGCCGAGCTCGACCATCTCCAGAGTCATCGCGTGCGAGGCCAGCATTACTTTGACGAACCGCTTCAACGGCGGGCTCGCTTTGCAGAAGTGCTGCAGGGACGACGCGGCGGGCCCGGTGCCCGGGTGCGGATCTGAGGCAGTCTCGGGAGACTCTCCAGGCCGCGAATCAACGTCACCGTCGATAAGAGGAAGGAGGCGTCGCGGCGGAAGTCAGAGAAGCCGCGCCTGCCGAGCGCCGCGTGCTTGCGGATCTCGAGCGTGGCGAAGGCCACGTTTCTGTCGTTCACGTTGAGGCGCAGCTCGGCCACGGCTCACCCGGTCGTGATGTTACAGCGCGCGTCGCCTTTCGAGGGGCGGCTCCTCGAGGTCCTCCACAGGGTCCGTCGACGCAGGGCAGGGCAGCACTCTGATCCAACGTTCAGAGCACGGCGCCAGCCGCAACACCGAGCAGCCCCCAGCGGTCCGCGTGGTGGACGAGCTGGTGCTTCCACAGGCAGTGGTCCGGCTGCGTGATGGCGATCACCTTCCCTGCCGTTTGTAGTGAGCCGCCTGGCAGATAGACAAGTTGCACAACAAAACACCCGTATTCGGCAAGCACCGGTGTGTACCGCTATAGTTACCCCTCCTACACTCCTACCCCTGCGGTGGCGCCGGGCGAAAGAACCTAAGCCTCAAGGTTATGGAGCTGGTCCAGGTCGTCGATGTCGCTGTACTGCAGCATGGTGGTCAAGGCCGGTGGACGGAGTGGGCGCAGACAACGCCGCTGCCGCTGGTGGCGCTAGGTGTAAGGAGGAGGGAAGTCCGTCCCGTCCGTACGCGGGGCCGAGCGGGCAGCACCTGCAGCCCGCAGGAACACGGAGATGGACACCGTTTAGTGCCAGCGTTCTCGGTCAGATAAGGTGATATCGTCGCATAAGGGACGCGTCCGTCAGCACCACCGCGAGCTGTGCATGGCGGAGGGAAGGACAAGGGAAGGGCAGCGATGCGGCTGGCCGGCCGGACGTCGAGGTGTAGATGCTGTGATGATCAAGGGCTCTCACAGCTGACGCGCCCCCCTCCCCCTCCCCCAAACACACACACACACACACACACACACACACACACACAGAACCAGTACTCAAAATCAAGACTTTTTCACCCCCC